ACAGCTGACTTCTTCTCGAGCTCCCACATCAGCACGTTGATCAGATGTGCATTTTTAATGACAATTGGCACTTCTTCAAACATGTGCTCAAAGGTGATACTTGCCTTTTTCAATGCTTCAGGGGAAAAATCCTTCTCTTTACAAACTTCCATCAGTTTAGGAGTCAGTCTGTATGCCTTTAGCGAGAGAGACCCTTGTGCAGTTTTTATGGGATCGTAAATGAGAACAACAGATTCTTCTATGGCATGCTGGTAACTGAACTGAGAATCCAAAAGTGCCCGGGTGACGAAGGAGCCGTAGTATGTAGACTGGTACCAGCCCACATGGAGATGGTCGATGTTTACGTGGCGAAGGCTCCGCATCATTTCCATCTGATACTGGACTTCATCAAACTCCGCATCCTCCTCTGTGTGCTGGGGGAAAGGGAAGCAGTTGGTGATTTCAAGCCGATCTTCGACAGCCAGGCCCAGAAGTACTCCTTGAACCACCTCAGTTCCTTGTCCTTCTTCTTGATAATGTTTGATTATTTTTAATACCACCAGGCCATCTATCTGCACTTGCTTCACGGCCGAATCTGCAGAGCCGCCTTTTCCTTTGCCTTTCCCCACCGCGCCGGAGGTGGAGCTGGAAGAGGCAGCGACGGAGCCTGAATCTTCCTTGCGGGACGCCATCTTTCCCTATGGCTATAATTCTTTAAAATAGAAATAGAATATGCTTCACATAGGATCATTTAAGTTACATTATCTTTTATTATCTTTTTAAAAGTCATCTTTTATTGCCAATTTGAAAATTTGGAGATACATACAAATGTTTTTTTTCAGGTTAAATAATTTTGCAGATTTAAAAATTCATAAATTAGCTTAAAGTTTTACATATATTCAGATGAGATACGATTATTTGAATGCTTTTGATTACATACGAAAAACTCAATGGTTTTTCATTATATATTAAAACATTTTAAGCAATAGTTAATTTAACTCTGTGAATGTCTGAGCTACCCCAAAGAGAGACCCTACACTTACTTGAGCTCCTGTTGCTACAGTGAGTTATATTGTACCTAAGAATCCTCAAATACAATGAGTGTTTTTTATAAAAGCCATGAAATTAAAAGTGTAGTCGGATGACACTTTGAAATGGTATACATTGGTGAAAATACATGGAAGAGGCAGCCAAGCAAAACATTTAGAGAACATCCTTCTAGGGATTAAAAACAGATTACTATTGTTTTCTGAGTATTACTATGTTTCTATAAAGTAAAAAAGGTCTTAGTGTGTTTTTAACCTGGAAGGCCCAACAATTGCTACATAATCCTATGCATATGCAACTAGCAGATGTATCCAATTGCATGGAATTGGATACAGTTATAGTGACTCTTACCATTTAAAGATTCTGTATTTGCCAACTTCTCTGTTGCTAAAATTTGTTTTGTTAAGCTCCTAGAGATGAAGTGTCATTCTCAAATATATACCGACTACTGAAGATTCTGTCATCTCACATATGTTCCCAGCTACTGTCAAAGAGGATTCTCTTTTAATTCCTTTTTGAAAGTCTTTGGTCTTTTCGAGACTGGGTCTTGTTATGCTGTTCAGGCTGGCCTTGACCTCATTGTGTACTCCAGGATGGCCTCAAACTTGTGGTGACGCTCCTGCCTCAGCCTCCTGACTTCTGGTACTTCAGACATGCTGTATTCTTGACTCAGTTGTGTTAAGCCCTTTTTGCAGACTATTTAGTACTCCATCTTAGTATGTTCCTGTTGGGAGATTTTTTCTGGTAAAACTGGCCTTAAATGTAGTGTTGTGTGCTGCTAATAATTCAGGTGTAAAAAGACTGTGACCAGTTTTATGAACAAAATTGCTCAGGTTAAATATTTCCATTCAGACCTGACTTATACTGCTGTTGACTCTAAGTTGCATATTAATAAATCACTAATATATTAAATGGTTTTTCAAAAGAAATACACAAGACATGAGTGGTGAATGAAATTATCATGACCACAGGATTAGAGGAAGCCCTTTGTCCCCTTAGGATTGCTAGTTGAGCATTTGCTAATTCAATTTTGCCAACAGTGTTGTAAAACATACTTACTATAATTAATGAAATTGTACTCATGTCGATGCCGATATGCGTGCTCTACCCTTGGATTCGAGGGATCATTTTTTGATAAATGTTTAATGTAGTGCAGCAACTGACTAGCCATCACACACCTCGCTCCTTCCCTCGCAGGGTTGGCTTCACCCTTGTAGGTCGACACCAGGCTTTCTCTGGATCAGCACTTTGACAAAACCTACAACATGAAAACTGACTGATTATCTTCATTAAAAACCCGTAATGCTTTAATACGTCTGCTGCATAATCCAAGATTGTTTTGATTGTTATGCAGCCACTTTTCCCCAAGAAAATGGATAGATCTGAAAATTTAAGTACACTGGCTAGGTGTTATAATAATGTATGCGAAATAAGCAACAGGGGCCACATAAGAACTCTGGTATCCTTTTTAGCCCGATATTTTCTCTCAAACGATTACCAGTTACTCTGAAGATTACATTTGCATTGTCCTGAAATATAACAGGAAACTTTTACATACATTGTCAATTGATAAGTCATAAATCTAAGTACATTAAGTACTTAACTGTGGATAGCAAGCTTTCATATTTTCTATCTGCAGAAATGTGCCATTGATGGTACATCATGACTGAATGCATCATTACCTCCACACATCTCTCTCATATTATTCTCATCTGTATCTTGGAGAGTTTTATATGGAAATCCCTTTCTTACACTTGGAGACACAAAGACCCATGAACTTGCTGAGGTCAGAATAGTGAAGGGCTAATAATTTCCTTTAATTACTTGATAATAGGGAAATTATAAGGCAACTTCTGTGCGTTTACATTGTCTCTGCTTTTCTTAACAAGAAAATGACTCTATGAGTATAATCCAATTTGTAAAGAAAATTCAGGCTGCTTTTTAACATTATCTTGTCACAAATGATTTGTCAGTTTGGTCATGCAGTGAAGTAAAACAGTTCCTAAAGCCGGCTTCTTAAATCTGGAGAAAATTTAGTACAAGGATATCCTGACCTTTTTATGAGAAGAGTCAACTGAAAAAGAAAGACTGAAATGGGTCAACACATTAGTTAGTGCTTACCCTAAATTTTATGCAAATATTGATAGAACTTAATGTTCATAGTAAGACTAATATTTGTCTTGAGCTATGTGAACTGGTCATTTTATTCATCTTTTGACTTATAATATTGGACATTTAATGTAATTTAAATTGCTACATTATTAAAAATATTATGACTCAAGTATTTTCATCATTACTGTTCTTGAGACAGGGTTTCCCTGTATAACCCATGCTGCCTTGTCTCACTGTGGAGCCCAGGATAGTCTGGAATTTATGGCATTTCTTCCATCTCAGTCTTTCAAGTTCTGGGATTATGGGCATATGACCACCATCTCCAGCTCTTCAAAATATTACCTTTTGCGGGCGGCCGGGGAGATGGCTCAGTAGAATAAGCGCTTCCCTGGCAATCACAAGAGTCTGAGTTCAATTCCTGGTTCTGAAAAAAAAAAAAAAAAAAAAAAAACTTTTGCTTATTGTAGAACAAATTTTTGGAATATTTGTTAGATCTGGAAGTCTACTAATTTGTGGTTAAGATATTGATTATTAAGGAAACAATGCCAAGTTCTCACAGTTTAAAGAACTGCTGTCATGAAAATGTTTGATATTTACCAGATAGTAGGTTTTATACTGTGATTTATAACCATGATATAATCTAATTATCACAATAACTGACGTTCCCTGGTGATCTAGTGGTTAGGATTCAGCGCTCTCACAGTAGCTTAATCTTTTCCAGTTTTCAAACCAGAAAACGTAGGTTAATTCCACCTGAATAAATTTTCCAAACCACAACACAAGCAAGCTGAAGGCCTTGGTTCTCTCGGGGGATTGCCTCCTTAGGATGCCCGTGCTGCGCGCTGGCGGCCTGGCGCCGGGCCGCTGCGTGGAGCCCCAGCCTGAGCGGTGGGTGCTGCAGAGCGCGAGGATGCGTCCACACGTGCACGCTCTAGTGCGACGCCTGCTGCGCGAGGAAGTCCTCCAACTGATTTGTGAAGTAAGTGATTGAAGCGGACAAATCACTATTCTGTACTGGTCCGTGCATTTCAGAATTCTTTTTAATTTATGTTACCTTTTTTTTTTTTAAAAAAAATCTTTTTATTTTATTTTATTTATTTTCTTATTTTTATTTGTGGTTCTGGGGATCGATCCCAGGGCTTTGCTCAGGTTGCGCAAGGCCTCTTCCTCTGAACATCTTAGCTCTTTTCATTTTTTTTTTAATTTTGCGACAGTGTCTTACTAAATCACTACAATGTTATACTGTAATTATATTAGAAAATGGATATAAATTACGTGATAAAGTCATGATCGAGGACGTGTGAGTGGCCTGTTTTGTTACACTTGAATAGCCAATTAAAACTCTCTGATAGGTTGAGAGAATGCAGATTAAAATTCACCTTCTCAAGTTAGGGTCAAATGGTCAGTTTTATGTCTAATACCCTGAATTTCTAAAAGCAAATCTGATCATGTTTAAGACAATGTGTTATTTTAGTATCCACATCATATTTCTGTCTCTGATGGTTATTTTTCTGTACATTATTAAAATATATGTTATAGAAATATAGCAGAGTATAATAATAAAAATTTGAAAATAAATGAGCAAAATTACAATAAAGAATGTCAATTCTGAAAAAAGCAGTATCCTCATAATTTATGTTTTAACTGAATTCTTGTATGACATTTTATTTTGTAATATAATGTATTTATTGGTAAGTAAAGTTCAAATTTAGACTTTAAATCATTGTTTACATTCCTCTTCATTCAAATATAAGTTTATAACATGTTTTAAGAAGTTTTCAATGCTTGATTCCACTGATTCATATAGTTTATGTTTTTCAGAAAAGTTATAATTAACGTTTACAATGCGATATGAGATAACTGTATTTTATGTCCTGCTGCTTTAAAATGAAAATTTTATGCTTCAAGTAAATCATTTTATGCTCAATAGAAAGTAAAAATTCTTTTGTTCACTGAGAAAACTTTCTCTGAAAAATCACTAGCATAAAAAGAAATATTCAAGGGATATTTTCATGTATGTATTCAATAAAAAGAAAAATGATTTGTAAATTATATTACTATATAGCTTTCAAAAAAGTCTTGAAACTTACACTCTGAACATGTCAAATATAGTACACACTCTTGAGTTGCAAAATAAAAGGCAAGTTATGTAAAGCAGTATAATCTTATACTTTTCATTTTAATTACTCTGTCTTTACTGGTCTCTGTCTTCTACTGTTTCTGTTCACTAATATTATAGGAAAATAGCTACTATCAAGAATTCCAGGGGCCGGGGAGATGGCTCAGTGGAATAAGCGCTTCTCTGGCAAGCGCAAGGGTCTGAATTCAATCCCCGGTTCCAAAAAAAAAAAAAAAAAGAATTCCAGCTCCACAATATCAGTTTTTGTATTTCTTCTGATAATCTATAAAATAACAGCAACAGAAAGCAACCTTTGGTAGACAAATTTTGTAGCTATTCCAAATTCTCTGCATCAAATCTCAAGTAATTTCTTTCTTTCTTTCTTTTTTTTTTTTT